TCCAGGTGGCTTTGCACGCATTGATATTTGCATTATTGACCTTATGCCCAGGCTCCACTACACTCTGCATACATAGACGGATGAGGATTGAGGAGACTGTTGAATAAAGAAGGTGTTGATTCATCTTTCGGTTTGCGGGGAGAAGTGCTAGGTGTGACAAAAAGAGCAAATTACTCTAAACTCTATGGCATTTTAGTGGTGCAAACAAACTTTGGGGCATATATAGGCGGATTCTCCACGACTCCACCAATGCTGATAAGGCGCATTTGGCTCATGGCTTTTCCCTTGGTAATTCAGATATTGAAATCCCCTGGTTTTCCAAGTGTTGAGGAGTTCATTTTTTCTTTTCTGTGAGCACTTGGCGAATTCTAGTTAATATATACTCCCTCCGTTTCTAAATATTTAACACCGTAGGTTTTTTAGCACATGTTTGACCGTTCACCTTATTCAAATGTTTTTATGAAATATGTAAAACTATATGTATACATAAAAGTATATTTAACAATAAATAAAAATGATAGGAAAATAATTAATAATTATTTAATTTTTTTTAATAAGACGAACGGTCAAACATGTTTAAAAAAGTCAACGGCGTCAAATATTTAGAAACGGAGGGAATATATATACTCAATCATGAACCAAGCTCAGGGAATATAATTCAGAATCATATTCTCTGCTAACCAAACTTGGACAGCAGCCTGCACCTGGAGCGGCTTAATTATGCCTTAATGGTCCATGTCCATCAACCACCGTATTTTTGGAATAAAGCAGAAACGTTGCTTTGTGTAGCTAGCTAGCAGCTGGGAGGATTCGCAGGTATGCTTCCCCTTGTCAAGTCAATACACTAGTTGCTGTATATATCGATCGAGTCTATTAGTTCTGCGAGGGCCGTACTCTTGTTGTTTTTAATGTCATTCAAAAGATATTAATTTTTTAAAAACAATAAGGTAGAATATAATATATGAAATATTACTTCACAAACGATTTTCAACTTATAGTATAGAAAAAAAATTTAAATCTAAATAGAATGCGTAATTCAGGCAAATTTAAGAGTTTATTTTAATTGTACAGGTCGAATATAAAAAAAAAGATTATGACTTTTCAGAGCGAGAGAGAAACCAGAGGGAGGCCGGGCGAGCTTGCAGCCGATCGACGTCGTACGTGGTCGTGGTGCGGCCATTGCGGCGATCGAGCGCCTCGCCGCGCCCACGTACGGACTCCCGGATGGATGGACGCGAGCTGCAGCAACCAGGAGAGGAGAGGAGACTCGCTTGTCTCGGGCGCGACGTACGTGCCGACGACCGGACCAGGTACCCCGTCGTCCAGGGGCAACAAGCGCGCTCTACAAGGCGGCGGCGACAGCGCATGATCCATCGTCGTGCTCACTTGGTATCCAATGGTTACGTTTCTCGAAAACTGGCCGATCGATCGATGCGTGTGTTTGTTCTGTTTCTCGATCAGAGGAGAGAGTTGGGACTTATTGGGCGCCGATGAGGCACAACACGCATGCTGCTTTCGGCGATGCGTTGGCTTAGCTGGTGGAGGGAGCAAACACGCACGACGACTCGCTGGTTTCTGCTTCTCCGGCCACGACGGACGTGACCGGTTACGAGGTGGATTAGTATGACGAGACGCCCTCTGCCCCGTGGACTACAAGGAGAAACACAAAGTTCTTCTTCGGATTCACGACGTCGTTCAACCTCTGGGTACCGTGTTTTCCTCCGCGGACAACCTTGTCTGCTAGGGCAGTCTCAACCTATAGTATCCATAAATAGTGTCTATAGTACCATGTCAATAAGACATCACAATAGAAACTACACTCCATAACCCATGGTTTCTTAAAGTGAGCCATTAATAAATACATCATCTCTCTTCTTTACCAATCATATTTATTCTTCATCTATTATGAAGACACTATTATCTCCCAATGCAAAACTTGATAGTGTCCAGTGCATAGGTATAGATTCTCGTGTTGAAGCTGTGTCTTGTATGAGACCTAGTTTCTTCCTCTCTTCACTCTCTCTCTTAATTAATACAGTGCCACATAAGCTAAAAGTCCTACATAGCAATATAGTTAATGCCATAGATACTATTCTAAGTGGAGGGTTGGGACTGCCCTTAGTCCTCCAAACGGTAAGCCCCTCTGTTCGTTTCCACTACAAAGGGTGGATAAAGTTTTGGATATTCGTATCACGCTTTTCAAACTGCTAAACAATATGTTTCGTGCGAAAATTTTCTATACGAAAGTTGTTATAAAATATTAATCTATATTTCAAGTTTGTAATAATTAAAACTCAATTAATCACACGTTATTACCACCTCATTTTACGTGAACCACTTAATCTTCATCTTCATCTTTAGGAGATTCAAACACCACCTAGTATCCCGCTCCAGCGCCGAAGCTGAGCATCGTGCAGTTGCACGTGCTGTGGCCGAGTGTTGTTGGTTTCGTCAGCTAGGGGAGCTTCATGCTCCTCTCGTTAGCGCTGTTTTTCTCTCCACCCGTTAGCGCTGTTTTTCTCTCCACCAATCCTATGCTACACAAGTATTTATATATTACCATACGTAGAAATATATTATTACTAGTACAGATCTGTCTAGTGATGTCGGTTGAGAACCTGCTATAGATGACAGTTTTCCAATAGGTACCAATTTGCAAGCACCATTACTCATCTGTATCGGTGTCGGTTCTGAATCCGGCATCTATAAAGATTATAGGTGCTGGTACTATATATATAGAATCGACACTTATAATCTATAAAATAAAAAGAAAATCGAACCAGGGCACATATAATCTATGAAATAAAAAGAAAATCGAACCAGTGCCGGTGCTAGGACCGCCCTTGTGCGGCGAAAGAGGATAAAGGAGAAGATGAGGTTGACAGCAAAGGTGAAGGGGAAAAACGAGGAAGAAAGCGCATGACTCGTGGGGCCCACGTGTCAGCCTCACGTGGAGGTCAAGGCGACGGCGGAGCCGGATCGTGGCAAGGAGGGGGAAGGGGATCAGCGTCCGTACCAAGAGGAGAGGGAGAGGATGTGGGCATAGGCATGGGCGCCGCCGCAACAAAAGCAGAGGCTGGAGAATAATATCCGAGTATTAATTCTGGTCACGGGATGCTAATCTATAAGCACTATTTCCAATCTAATCACATGGCAATGATGTGTATAAAAAAATATACGTAGGAAATCAGGATTACAAATTTTCTTCTATATAATTATAGTACAATTGTAGTGTAATTACACTGTAACTTGCATATAACTGCAGTGTAACTTGTATATAAGTTTCATGTAATTTTGAATCGTTAGATCTATTACAAAATTTGTTCTGGTGAGAAAGAAAAAAAAATCACATCACACACATATGTGAAAGGATTTGTTCTCACAACCTCCATTTTACCGAAATAAATGTTATGTAGAGATTTTTTAAAGTTACATACATGTTACATTATAGTTACAGTGTAATTATATGCAAGTTACAGTGTAATTACACTACGATTGTACTATAATTACATCTGTCAAATTTTTGGTGAAAAATTTATCGACAAATATATAGCAAATTTGTATTTGATAACTTTATTAAAAAAAAGTATGGTTTAAAATGATATTAATCTGATCAAGCCCTTAATGCCCACCAACCCTACTCCCGATATTTGTCAAACGCATGTGCATGCTCGGCATGCACCACCGCACACGAGCTCCACCAGAAGGTGGCATTGCAAATGAGCTCCGAGCATACTAGTGTTGCCTGCTCTACCTGAGCTCCACCAGATAGAGTAGGCAGTACTAGTATTTTCTTTAGATTGATCTTCTTGATTTTCTTTTCCCGATCGACACCGACTGCATACATGCCATCCTCCATGCAACGGAGAGGATCAGTCTTCTCGGTCTGACCGAAGACTGGGACTGAAGTTTCGGTTAACCGAATTGTCGGTCTACAAATCTATGCTAATGTGTTCGGTTTCTAATTTTAAAAGACCGAACTAACCGGACCGAATTTTCGTCTAGACCGAATGCACACCCCTAGCCAACCCTATGCTAAACCTTCGATGCTAGCTATAAGAGTAATTGCTACACCAACCCCACGTACACCCCATGCTTCGTGACCGTGTGAGCTCTCAGCCAGCCCTGTGCACATGCGCAGGAGCACCGCTAGCCTTATGTGCGAGCTCCACCGCACACCGCACACCTGCAGATGGGCTTGGATGAGGATAGAGGAGACTTGTTGATCGATGAAGGAAGGGGCATATTGTCTTTTGATGTGTGTGGATAAGTGCTAATATAAGTGCGACGAAAAGAGCGGGTTACTCTAAACTATATGTCATTCTAGTGGTGGCAACAAACTTTGGAGGCACATATAGGTGGATTCTATATATATATATATATATATATATATATATATATATATATATATATATATATATATATATATATGGATTAGGCATATTTCTCTCATTTTCATAGCTAGCTAGCTTTTCCCTTAGTAATTCAGATAGTTAAATTAATTCCCAGCGTTGAGGAGTTCAGTTTTATTTTTCTGAGGACTTGAGGAATTCTTGTTAATATATACCATCTCTATATTTTAATGTATGACGCCGTTGACTTTTTGTCCAACGTTTGACTATTCGTCTTATTCAAAAAATTTATGTAATTATTATTTATTTTATTGTGACTTGATTCATCATCAAATGTTCTTTAAGCATGACATAAATATTTTCATATTTGCACAAAATTTTTAAATAAAACGAATGGTTAAACGTTAGTCGAAAAGTCAATGGCGTCATACATTAAAATACGGAGGGAGTATTTCTTAATTGTGAACCAAGCACATATAGAACATGATTCTCTGCTAACCAAACTTGGACAGCAGACAGCACATAATAGATTCTGATTGAATGTGATACATCTAGTACTAAAAAATCAGATAATATTTTGGGATGGATGCAGTATATGTTTGCCCTTGTGAAGGCAGTACATTAGTTGTTGTGTATATATATATATGACTGGCAGAGAGAGAGAGATAGCAGCTCATCTCAACACGCGCGCACGGGGCGGCATGGCGGTCGTCAGCGGCGGGAAGCGCGCGCTCCTCGTCGGCGTGAGCTACAAGGGCGACACCAGCAGAGAGCTGACGGGCGCGGCCGAAGACGTCAAGAACATGAACAGCCTCCTCAAAAAATTCCTCTTCCCCGAGGAATCCATCCACATGCTCACCGGTAATTAAACCGAAAGATCAGAGTATATACTCCAAAACTGATCGATCGATGAGATCGATCGATTGCGTGAGCTTCTTCTCTGATCTGCTGGGCTGATTCTCAATTTCTCAGAGGAGTTGGGCGCCAAGGACCCGTTGAAGGCGCCGACGAGGGAGAACATTATGAAGGAGATGCGGTGGCTGGTGGAGGGGTGCCGCGCCGGCGACTCGCTGGTGTTCCACTTCTCCGGCCACGGCCGGCAGAGGAAGGACGACAACGGCGACGAGGTGGACGGCCGAGACGAGGAGCTCTGCCCAGTGGACTACAAGGTGAGCGGCAACATCTTGGACGACGACATCAACGATGCCATCGTCAAGCCGCTCACCCAAGGCGTGAAGCTGCACGCCATCATCGACACCTGCCACAGCGGCACCATGCTCGACCTCCCCTACCTCTGCCGCTTTAACAGGTACTCCCTCCGTCCTAAGATATTTGATGCCGTCGACAATTTTATAAATGTTTGACCGTTCGTCTTATAAAAAGATTTAACTAAATATTAATTCTTTTCCTATCATTTAATTCATTGTTAAATATACTACTATTACTAATCAAGTTTTTTTTAAGTAATATTCACAAAAGTTTTTAAATAAGACGAACGATCTAACATGTTTAAAAAAATTAACGGCGTCAAATATTTAGAGACGGAGGGAGTAGTATCCTTATAGGAGTGTAGGGAAAATAAATGCTCTCGCGCGAGGACATGGTGAAGAAATAGCCTCTCCACTGGACAAAGCTTCAGCGCCCCTTTACATATATGTATGGCAAACAAATTTAAAAGGCTTCTGTAGTAGTAGCATTGTAGGCTACCACCCCATGGTCCATCGCCGCTCCTCCTCCTCCTCCTCCACCTTCTCTCCCATAAAGTACATGTTAGATCGGTTCTCAGCAGTCTATTTGAGCACCCAGCCCTCAAGAAGTGTTTTATTTGGTAGTCTAGCGTGCTGGCTCAAGCTCAAGAACAAGCCAAGCTTACTCTTTTAGCTTGTGACACGATCGAGCTGAACCTCTTTCCAGCAAGCTTTCACAAACCGAGGCTAGGCTAGTCTCGGTTGGGTCGCTTCCACCCCTAACTACGTACTCCTCTCTTTGTCTCACTCATTAATATTGTATTCAAACTTGTCACAGACTTCAAAACTAATCTTTAACTTTAAATTTCTCATATACTATTATTTTCATCAAATAAAACGTAATTTATAATAAATTATTTATTGTCAAATATTTGAAGAGTTAAATATTAAAATACGTGCATAGCTTAATGAGTGGGACAGAGGGAGAGGGAGTACCGGTACTATCGTAGTACCACACTACTTCAATAGATGGCCATAAGGCTCGAGGCCCGACGGCCTGACCCTAGAACGACACAGCACAACTGGTGTTGGGTCCATGCAGGCCTAGCCCGACAGTTGGGCCATGCCTGGGCCGATGCCTTGGCATGGTGGGCTAGCCCGGCTCGGCACAATCAAAGAAAAATAGTTGAGGCTCCCACAATAGACTTAAATCATCCATATAATGCACATCTCAAAGAGAAGAGGGATGCAAAATAGATTTATTCCAGCCATATAAGACATAGCCCAAAGACATAAGGGAGAAAAAATACACTTATACTACGGGCTATCATGCCTTCAGGCCTGGCCGGCACGGCCCAAGACTTATTGGGCCATGCTAGACCGTACGTGTAGCCCGTGGGTAGGCCTGGCCTGGCCCGAGATGTAGGTCGAGCTGTGCTGGCCCAATTGACCTCTCTCCGTGCCTGGGTCGTGCCGGGCCGGACGACCCATTTGGCCATCTATAACTACTACCACTCTCATCTTCGTAAATCATTTCGATGACAATTTGATTTCAAAATCTGGAATGAAACTTTGCAAGTTGTAGTTAACATGGACTATCATCTTGCTCTACGAGCTATATCTGAGAGATAGCGAAGGTATTCAACGTAGTATTAAAATTTTTATTTTTATACTGTTTTAATTAAAATAGTCCATGCAACAGTGGATGAGAAAAATAAACTTTATAACGATTGCCACTAGTTGAAAAATTGACTTGGAGAAAAGTTGGAAGACCAAAAATAAACTTTATACTACATACATACATACTTTTAGTACTACTGTTCACTTTGTATATATCACTAAATTAATAAAGCAATTTATTTCCTATAGTAGTTGTTGATAATATATTGCCAAAAAAAACATCAAACTAATGCTACACCTTATAATTTCAGAATGGGTCTATGTTCAAGATACAAGTGGGTTGGCCAAACGCGTTGGCGACTATCCCCAAAGAAAGAGTGGGCGATGGTCCCCGTAGGCGGCCACGCCATCTCCATCAGCGGCTGCAAGGACTACCAGAATTCTCTAGAGCCAGACAACACCGTACGTCCATGGTTTGCAAATTTCGTTTTGCACATTCCTATCACCGAAATCTAAACAAATTTTGACCGAACTTAAATGAAGTTCAACCAAATTCACAAAGAAATATAAACTTTCTGAATTTTCTCAGCGAGACATAGCTTTGTGCCCGCAAATAAACTCGAAATCTTTCTGTTCACTAGTGCGAGGGCTGTATATGAGATTAATACAAGAAAAAATTTATGATTTATAAGAACATATCTTGACGTATCTAAATTTTACATAATTACTCAAATTATATTGTACCTGAAGATACTATAATATTCTTTTTTAAAAGAAATATGATACATCCTGATACACTCTGAAATATGTAATTAATATAATCAAAAGCAGGCCGGCGGCGGCGTCATGACATGGAGCTTCCTGGAGGCAGTGGGATCGCGGAGGACGATGACGTATGGGGAGCTGCTGGACTCGATGCGGGCGAAGGTACACCATAGGTTGCAGCAAAGCAGCTCCGGCAAGTGCCTCGTAACGGGCTGCCTCGGCTCGCTCGCCGCCAAGTGTCTCCCCTGCTGCTTCCTCAGCGTGCAGGTGAGAGAGATCGACCACCACCAGAGAGAATCAATTAATCCATCCTTCGATATACTCCCTCCTTTTCGGTCCTTCCTAAATATCTGAATATTTGACGTCGTTAACTTTTTTTAAGCACGTTTAATTATTCGTCTTATTTAAAATTTTTTTATGAAATGTGTAAAATTATAAATTATATGTATACATAAAAGTATATTTAACAATAAATAAAATGATAGAGAAAGAATTAATAACTATTTAATTTTTTAAAATAAGACGAATGGTCAAACATTTTTTAAAAAGTTAATAGCGTCAAATATTTTGGAATGGAGGGAGTATATGGAGACGGGCGTTACTATACGTACCATCTAATGTTTACGATGGTTGTACGATCGAACGTGCCTCTCCTACTGTTTATTAACGGCTGCAACTTTAGATTGCTCTTGCACTCAAACGGTGGCAGCGTTTAATCGTACTGAAATCGTAGACAAACATCGTATGCACGGTATTTTCCTATGGAGATTGCATGCCAGATTGCAGAGAAGCTAGCACATTGCACACCATATGCATGATCACTTACTGTATTTTGCTCTAGTTAAGTTTGTTTGGGTTTGCCATGCAGGAGCCGCAGCTCTGTTCGTCGAAGGAGTTCAACGTCTACGAGGAGCAGTTTATCCTGTGACCGACCGCATTGTCCCGGGCACAAGCTCCATTCAGATGAAAACCTCTGCTCCTCCAGCTCCATTCTAATTGCGGATGCTGGATATCATACACGTAGGCTCGCTTTCTTAAAATAAAATTTAAATATTATTGTTCGTAGAAAAGAGTATGATAGTGTGATATCAAAATGTGGACGAGGAAAAAAACCGTGTTCTAAGTATCGTGTATTAGCGAAGGATATATGTTGCTCTGTTGCTGCGGCCATGGCCATGCATGTGTGTTCTTACAAAAACTCAAGCGTGTGATCATATTTATAATAAGGTAGCGCAGAGCGACGGATTGGAACTGAAATTGTGTAATTGAGCGTGTACTTTGTATTGTCCAAATCTGTTTTTATAATTTGTAAGTTTGTTAAGCTTCGGTCACATTTATCAATCTGTGCAAGCTAGGCAGATGTACAGCACAACTACCGTGGACAGTCGCTAAATAAACCCCGATGACGTCTGGCCAACCCAAGCACGACAAATTTCACACACGCACGGGCAAGCTGATGTTGCAGAGAAAATGGTGAGCTTTCCAAGCTGACTGAAATGTACTGGCTCAATGCTTGTCAAGGCCGAAACAAAGATTCACTAACATATGATCGGCAGTCACTGAATTGCATAGATTAAAAAAGTGGATAAAGTTTTGGATATTCGTGGCACACTTTTTAAACTGCTAAACGGTGCGTTTCGTGCGAAAACTTTATATATGAAAGTTGTTTTAAAATACTCCCTCCGTTTCTAAACATTTGACACCGTTGACTTTTTAACACATGTTTGACCATTCGTCTTATTAAAAAACTTTTATGAAATATGTAAAACTATATGTATACATATAAGTATATTTAAAAATGAATTAAATGATAGGAAAATAATTAATAATTAATTTTTTTAATAAGACGAACGTTCAAACATATTTAAAAAAGTCAACAGCGTCAAATATTTAGAAATAGAGGGAGTATCAGATTAATCTATTTTTCAAGTTTACAATAATTAAAACTCAATTAATCACACGTTATTACCACCTCGTTTTGCATAAAACACTTAATCTTTATCTTCAGGAGATTCAAACATTACCTAAATACAATTCAAATGGTTTTTGGCTTCGCCAGCTAGCTGATCAGCTTCATCTTCAGCTTCTTCGAACAGAATGGATACCCACGTTGTACACATTTTTGGAGATAGATTTTTTTTCTCTCGAGAAGATGCACATATTTGTCTCTTGCATGTTACTCACTCCATCGCATAATATATGTGATTTTGACTATATAGGGTTTTGGCAATGCATTGCATTGTGAAAATCCCATATATTATAGGATAGAAGTAGTACTCAAATATATCAACCACAAAGTAGATTAATATGATAGACATATCACTCCAAAAAATAACTGTTCAAAATTCAACTTCTACGAGTAATAAATAAACAAATTAGACTTAAACTACTATAAAGTATGTTCACAGTTATATCGGTTGTAACTTATAGAAATCAAATTTAAATCAACAATTTTATAAATTAGTATATCTCAAGTTTTTCATAAATATTTACTCCAAATTATCTGACCTATATTTTACACGGTCTTCAATAACATATTTTGACCATTAATTTATTTCATATCATGTCATTAATATGAAAGCATTTTAAAATACGAATACAATGATATAACATACATAATACTTGACGTAGATATTGTTGGTGCAATTATTAGGCAAAAGTTATCGAGTTTGATTTTTCTAAAAATAAGGACTCACCCTATAATTCAGGACAGAGGGAGCAGTTGACATATGGGAATCCCTAAGAAAAATAAATACTTTCCCGCATTTTCATCTTCTGCAAGGCGAGAACTAGATAGCGAAGAGGCGGCACGTGTAGGTGTCTCATCAGCGTGGGCTGTTGTGTTGTGATCTAAATTCATTTGCACATAATAAATGATAGCTTCTGTCAGAGCGAAGCGGAGGCCCGTCCCCGGAGGCTTGGGCCAGAGCAAAGCGTTTGGTAGAACTGATAAGGGACTTGTTGGCTATGTTGATTCATATTTTGCTGTTGATTTGGATAAGTGAAGATCACTCACAGGTGAACGGATCATTATCCTTTTAGGGTTATCCTTCGTATAAACTTCTTGTAAGCCACCGTTCGGCGTTGTAACCTTACCCCGATATAGTGAAGATATTTTTGTTGGCTGGCGCCCATGCTTTTTTCTCTCCTGCTTTGGGAAGGTTTTTCACGTTAAATCTCGTGTCTTCTGTGATTGACCTATTGTTCTTTATTGTTTATTTGCCTATCGTTTCCTAACATGGGCAACACGAGACCAGGCGGGGCAAGCGCATGGCCATTGTCGGGCACGACATCGCGGTGTGCACATATTGCGGCACGGGCCTCGCCATGCCACTGCTGGCCGCCAGGGGCGAGGTCGGGCATTGCCGCCATTGTCCAGTGCGCACAGTGCCACCGTATGACGCATGATAACTGGTGTGGAGGCTGCGGCGTGGGTGGTAAAGCACGACGTATTGGCCGACTACCGGGGTTTACAAAACCGTGCGATTATCGTGGTTATCACATGCGGTAACCGCATGGTTTTCGTGCTTACCACGATAACCGTCAAACTGTGGGGTGGTGATTACCCCACCCAAAATGGTTTGGTGAACCCTAGGTTGTAGTAGCCGCAGATGAACGGGTAGTCGGTAGGGTTCACCAAACTGTTTTGGGTCATATTACCACCACTCCACCGTTTGGTTTGGCAGTTATTGCGGGAACTGCGTGGTTACCGCAAAAACCGTACGGTTACCACGAGGTGTAGCGTGTGGTTCCAAAAACTGAGAAAGTTACCGTATGTTATAACCACACGGTTTTGTAAAACATGCTACGACCGTTCAAGGTTGCCGACGAGGTACACCATGCTGGCGGCTCACTGATGTTCCAGTCCTCCGGCCACGGCAAGCAGAAGCTGGAACTGAGCGGCGACGTGGTGGACGGCCTCGACGAGGCGATCTGCCCGGTGGCGACGTCGAGCAGAACGGCAGGATCATCAACCACGAGATCAACGAGCTAGATCACCATCGTCCTCCCGCTCAGGCTCGGCCCTCGCGTGAGGAATTTGCATCGAAATCAAGTTACAATGCCTAATTGTCCACCATTAATCTGCGGTTCTCCGAACCCAAATAATCAGTGGATTTTTGGAATAAAGGAAGGAAAACGTTGCTTCGCCTACAAGCTCAGGGGATTCGCAATGTTTTGCTTTTTCTCATGGCAGAATGATGGACAGTGGACAACCCACCTGCTGTAGTACGCATTTCCATCTCCTGCACTGCAAGGCGCGACAGCATCCGCTGCTGCAGCTGCCTAGCTCGTCGCGTCGGCAATGGGCTGCAACTGCCTCGTCGGCAAGGGCGGCAACACGAGGCCAGCCGCCACGACGAGCGCGCGGCCGTCGTCGTCGCGGTGCGCGCACTGCGGCGCGGGCCTCGCCGTGCCGCGGCCGGGGCCGGGGGGCGCTGCCGCCGTCACCACCGTCCGGTGCGCGCTCTGCCACCGCATGACGTGCGTCGACCGGCGCGGCGGCCGCGACCTGGGCGGCGGCGGCGGTGGCGGCGCGCTCGAGGCCTCGTCGTCGTCGTGGGCGCCGGCGGAGGCGTCGTTCCTCAGGCGAGACGCGCCGTCCGGCTACCCGTTCGTCCCCGGGAGGAAGCGCGCGCTCCTCGTCGGCGTCAGCTACAAGGGCTCCAGCTACGAGCTCGAGGGGACCGTCAACGACGTCGACTGCATGAGGCGCCTCCTCGGCGAGAGCTTCGGTTTCCCCGCCGATTCCATCCTCGTGCTCACCGGTAATCACCCAAAAGAAATTTTCTCCAAGAAGCGATCGAGCTTTCCACTGATTAGCGACGCCGTTCTCTTGATCTCTCAGAGGAGCTGGGCGAGGGCGACCCGTCGAGGTCGCCGACGAGGGCGAACCTGCTGGCGGCGATGCGGTGGCTGGTGGAAGGGTGCGACGCCGGCGACTCGCTGGTGTTCCACTTCTCCGGCCACGGCGTGCAGAAGCTGGACGTGAACGGCGACGAGGTGGACGGCTACAACGAGGCGCTCTGCCCCGTGGACTTCGAGCGGAGCGGCAAGATCCTCGACGACGAGATCAACGAGACCATCGTCCGGCCCCTCGTCGCCGGCGCGAAGCTCCACGCCATCGTGGACACGTGCCACAGCGGCACCATCCTGGACCTCCCCTTCCTCTGCCGCCTCTCCCGGACGGGCTACTGGCAGTGGGAGAACCACTGCCGCCGCCCGGAGCTCGCCAAGGGCACCAGCGGCGGCCTCGCCATCTCCATCAGCGGCTGCAGCGACGATCAGAAATCCGCAGACAGCAGCGTACGCCATCGCCATGCATGACGCCCTTGTCATCCGCGGAACTCCGTTTCATCTTGTTGGAAACATTCTTGATTTCAGGGATTCTCGTCGGAGCAGGCGGCGGCGGCGGCGGCGATCGGGGCGATGACGTACAGCTTCATCAGGGCGGTGGAGTCGGAGCCCGGGACGACGTACGGGCGGCTGCTGGCGGCGATGCGGGCGACGATCCGGGAGGGGCAGCAGGGGAGCAGCGTCCGGCGGCTCCTCCCCGGCCGCCTCGGCTCCTTCGTCCGCAAGATGATCCCGTCCGGCGGCGTGCAGGTGAGAGATTACGAACTCTGAATCCCTTGATCCACATCATCAACCATGGAATTGCTTAATTTGCATTATTGACGCCATTGATCATGCGTGCGTTGCAGGAGCCGCAGCTTTGCGCGTCGGAGGTGTTCGACATCTACAGGAAACCGTTTCTCCTGTGACAAAGCGGTTTTCTCTTTTCCCGCCACGGATTCGGTTTTACCGCGCGCTGAACCTCTCTGCTTTCATTCATCTGCCTGCCTCTGAAATTCTCTGAACATTTCGACAATGTCATTATCTTACGAATATGCATTGCGTGTGAATATAATGTGGCGCGGCGCCGGGTTGGATTGGATTATTGGGTGTCCTGTTTGTAATCCAAACTCTCTTTTTTTTTTCTGAAGGGTGTAAACTCTGTTTTCTCAAGCTCAGGCTAAGCTTCGATAGGGCGAGTGTGAAACACCGTCGGTTTCTTTTTTTAACAACAACCTAAAGCAAACACGTAGCAGAAATAATATCATGGTTTTAAATCTCCCGCTAAACTGCCGCTATCTCCCGCTATAGCTGTTTGAGAAGGATTCTAGCTATTTGCTCTCATGTACAATTTAGCCGCTATAGTTTCATTTAGCCCGCTATAGCTGCCGCTATAGCTGTTTAAGAAGCTAACCGCTAAATGTCTTAGCGCGCTATTAAAAACATTGAATAATATGAGATCATGACAGCACGAGAGGTAATATGCGAAGGAATCAAAACAGTACTAAATCCATGTGCCGTGGATAACAGTGAAGCTATACTACTCCAACAGTGCAAACAACAGACCCCTTCGAACCAAAATCGTACAACTTCATCAATTGAAATATGCTTGATCTTAAACTTGAAACATAAGTTGTACACAGTGGCTATGCTCAATTTTGCCAATAAACATGAAAAACAATGGATAAAATTGACAATGGCTATCCCTTGCGCTTGCCCCAATAGGACCTTGGAATTTGGAAACATGGGATGCGTTTGGAGCCATTGTTTCGCTTATTCGTAGGTATATTTACAAATAAAAAGTAATTTATGAATAAAACTTTTATATACATGTTCTTAGCAATCTAAAACACCACCTCCCGCCCCGGCGTGCGATATCCTTCCCGGCGGCGCCCCCTTCACCACCGCCGCCATCGTGGTCGCCCGCTCCATCTTGACGCCACTGTTAGTGATATGCCCTAGAGGCAATCATGAATACGCGATAGAAAATTTTGATTTATGCTATCGTAGCCTACGCGTATCCCAACAGTGGTATCAGATACATTCATGATTGACTCTAGTGCAAGTGGGAGACTGTTAGTGATATGCCTTAGAGGCAATCATAGAGATGATTGTATCACATACTATGTTTATATATTTATCCGACATTGTTCCTTGAAATAGATAACTCCTTATTGGTTAATGAATATGTGATTCTTTCATGAGACTTTTTATGTTGTTTGTTACTATTTCTAAAGGATCCCTGATCAAATATCATATGTGGAACAAATATGTTTATATGATCAACACATGTATTAATTGATGATCATGTCTCATGGATCATGGTATAGAGATACCAAATTAATAATGTGGACACATGTTGGTGAACATGTTGTTGGATAGACCCAACATGAGACACTGCAAGAGCCATATGTGTTGTGTCATCAGTGATCTTATTTAGTGTTGGTGTTGAATTCTCAGACCTGAGATTATTATGGTTCTCAACATGTGTAGTAGCTTACTTAGGGACTGCTAAACGCTACTCCGTAAATGGGTAGCTGTAAAAGTAGTTTTCAGGTATGCTATGAAACATGTAGTGGGATATGAATAATCAAGATGGGATTTGCCTCTCCTATGGAGAGATATCTCTGGGCCCCTCGATGTTGTAGATTATGGAAGTGCATGGCCATGCCAAAGGTGATTGAGGAGTCAATCACAAGTTATATAATCTATCAACAGGTTCGAGTGAATGATTGAGCTATTAGAGGATGGCACATATCTAGCCTTGAGCTTAATCGATATCGTGAAGCAAAGGGGTTCATACAAGTATATACTAGAGGTTTAGCCGATATGATCTTTATGTATGCCCGGTGGGTCAATACGTTCTGCTAGGGGCCGCTGTTGACGCGTGGACCGAAAAGGAGTTTTCGGGTTACAGCCGAGTATATATGAACCTACAGGGTCGCACGCTTAATGGGCCGGAATAAGGGGATTGGATGGAGATCCAATATGAGCTTACTTCGAATAGGGATCCGAATAGGAGTCCTACGGGCCTTGGAGGCACGAGTGATGGATCCTATATATTCGTGAGGGGTGTGACCGGCGGAGACACTGCATCACGTGAGAAATCCTAGCTGTCACTTCCCTCCCCGAGCAAAACCCTAGCCGTGCGCGGGTGCTAGCACATCTGCGCGTGGCGTTCCGTCCCTGTACGTGTGGATACAGGTAGAGGCGCCGCTGGTTTGCGGTGCTGATCGGCGTGAGAGTACAGTGAGGAGAACGCACGAGGAGGAGAAGGTCGAGCCGGTGCGATCGACTACTTCCTCTACATCGACGTGTGCTACTTCGCGAGAGTTCCTTCGACTTCTCAGCGTCTTCTTCCGCTGCACAGCGCGGCGTCGAGTGGTAACGATCTATGATCTAATACTTGCATGGTTCCTGGTTTACGCGATAGAAAATTTTGATTTATGCTATCATAGCCTACGCCTATCCCAACAGCCACATCGATGAACTGAGCACATCAAGCATCCAATCAAAGATCAAAATCACCTTAACCACACAGAGCAGCCTATATCATCGATATGTACCTGGAGATTGAGTGGCGTGCAAACGGAGGACAATAAACAGTCCATCTTGGACGGAGGGCGAAGCGGTGATGGACGACGACAGCGGGAGCTTGCTACTTGTTGCTGCTAGCTTGCTTCTTGTCTGTGGATTTAACAGCTTGGTGTTGGATCTTGCGGCTTGCCTGTGGATCTGGATATGCTCGCTGCTTACTGATGAAGATGCATGCGCTTGTTGCTGACGGGAGAGCTGATAGGATGACGAGACTGACGGACGGTGGCTCGCCGGCAACGGATGCTTGCTGCTTGATACCGGCGATCTCCACAGCGGAGGTGCGTGTCCTCCTCCTCCTTGAACCCGTCGCCATCGTCGTCGTCGTCTTCAGCGGCATTGGCATCGGCATCGGCGTCGTCGTCGTCTTCAGCAGCGTCGTCGTCGTCGTCTTCAGCGGCGTCGGCATCGGCATCAGCGTCGTCGTCGTCTTCAGCAGCGTCGTCGTCGTCGTCTTCAGCAGCGTCGGCATGCGTCGTCTTCGGCGGCGTCGGGCATCGTGTGCGGGGTGTGTGTGGGGGGAGTGCGGCGTGCGTGTGTTTGCTGCATCAGCGGCGGAGGTGGAGGTGGAGGGGTGAGGTGCGGGATCACGGTGACGCCGCCGCTGCCGATGGCAGCTCCTCCCTCGCCAGCCGCCGCCCGCGCCCGCCGCGCCTATCTGCTCTATACTAGACGCCCATCGCACGCCGCCTCCGCCAGCCGCTGCTCAGCCCCGCTCGGCGCCGCCCCTTGCTACTCCCCGGGCAAAGAGAACTTAAAAAAAAAGAAGAGAAAAAACAAAGGGGAAAGTTGACGTGGCACGTTGACATGTGGGTCCTACGCTGACTCAGTCGCCACGTAAACCAAAACCGGGGTCAAAATTATCGAAGGACCTTGGGTGACCGGTTTTATATAGTTAAGGGACCTCGCATATCTGGTTTTGCAGTTCGAGGATGCTTTTATATCCCGATGACAAGTTGAGCGATCTTTGGTGCATTTTTTCCGAGGAAAGAAGGGTTGAGCTGGATTCAGCCTAGAGCTTGGAAAGTTGGAAGGGATTTTTATTTGGTTTTCATTTAAAAATTACTGAAATAATATTTATATTATTAAAATTAGCAACTAAAATATGAAAAATCCGATAAAATTTCATAGAGTGTAATTAATGATAGGGAATTTAAGAAAAACACTCCAAGGCACATTTTTTTAAAGGAAAATTTATTTTCTGTATTTATTTCAGTTTCTTATTTAATTAAACTTTAATATAAATTCTAGATACAATTTATTAAATCTATATCTATATAGACCTACTTAAAAATACATATTATAAGTTTGATTAAGAATTTAGTAGTATGCGCAATATAATTTTGAATTTGTATGTTTACCCATTGCAACGTACGGGCCATTTTTCTAGTATGAATGAAAACTGATTGACTTGGACTAAAACTTATATTAATTAAAACTAACCAATTGAATTGCACTAAACTTTACAGGTAGAAACTACACTTCAAAACCATTTTTTTTTAAAAAAACTACACTTAAATTGGATGATTAGATCAAAATCTGAAAGCAATATAACATTAGAGAAAAACCTGACAAACTCACCATATTCAAACAAAGGGACTAAAGGGGAAGTCTTTTTGTCCATCTAAATAGTTATGTTTTTTTTTTAAAAAATAAAATAGATTAAAATGCTATATATTACTCTACAAATATGTAACTTTAAATTTGACGTATAGAAGTTGATACAAATTCGCCAAGATTTCAATTCGCATTAGCCCAACTCTTAATGCGAGCAGATACACATGCATATAGCATCTAAATTATACTTACGTCGGATATGTAACTGTATGTGAGTCACAGCAACTTTACAGTGATAAAATAATAAAAAAGAGCAAATTCCAAAAATAAAATCCAGGTTTTCGGGCATGCGTAAGACAAAATCCTATATATTGTAATTTGTTTTAAGGAACCCCATATTTAAAACACCCATTAATACCATTGTTATATATAGTTTTTAATACTCTCTCCGTTTCACAATGTAAGTCATTCTATCATTTTCCCATATTCATATTGATGCTAATAAATCTAGACATATGTATCTATCTAGATTCATTAATATCAATATGAATGTGGGAAATGCTAGAATGACTTATATTGTGAAACGGAAGAAGTATATATCTATTATTATAAAAGTCCATTAAATTTCCTACAAACGCTCCTACACTGCTATATGGCGCTCCTACAAACACTCTTAGGCCATCACGTGGCATTCTACAATCTCACTGTCGATTTTCATTTAAATTGGTGGACCCGTTATTTTAAACCATTAGATTATATCTATTTATAAAGTTTATACTTCTTTTTTAAGAGAATCGGCTTACCGGAAAATTTTAAGCACGTACAATGATATACCTGTCCGGTACTGTTCGTTTGAAAAAAATAAACAACAAACGTACATATAAAAAAAAGCTATCAAGACAAAAAAAACATTGATATACCGTTCACTTGAAAAAAAAAACAAAGAACAAAGGAACATACATATGTATGCTGTATGCACGATATAAAAAACTA